AAAGGTTGAAGGGTGTAGAATGCATGTTATACAATGTGGCAAATTGTTAATAGTTCTCTAAATATTATTTATTAATTGACAATGACAACTTTAAAAATATCTGTTTCTACAGAGTAATAAAAGTAAATCAATTGCTAGTTAAAGATATTGAAATTTGATAATTGGAACGTGTCGAGTACAGAGGAAATTGAGTTATAAATTATATTGTATAATACAAAATATGAAATAAGATATGTTAAAAACAAAAAAATTAGTAAAATAGATAAATAAGGAATGTTGAATTGAATTAAACAGCATAGAGAATAAAATAAATTGAAATTAAGTAGTGGAATCATAGTAATAAAATAGTTTAGAATAGAATTTTATTTTATTTATTCAGATTTTTCTTGAATTGCTACGTTTAATTGTAAGGATCATAATCAGGCTGGTGGTTTTAATTGCACTCTTAGATTTGGAGATCGTGATTCGAAGGAGAAGATGTAACGTCGCAACCCGATGACGTCGCATCCTTATTAACCCAACGTAGTCACATCCGTTGCTGTCCCGTTCTGTATACACGTGCAGGGTGTTTCTCGTAATGATACTCTGATTTATATACATTGAAATCAGTTTATAAATTTCTATTGAGCTATGTATTTCACTGTAAAATCCTATCCATCTTTTAATTTCGTAGATCGTTTCTAATTTACTGTTATATATTTTTGTAGTACTGCTGCAGATATAACTAATATTACAATTCTTTAATATATAATTATGTATTATACTACAAAATAAATTAAAGATTAAAGTATTTAGGGATTAAAGATTTTTTTAGGTATCTTTCTTATGTAAGTACATTAAATATTACTGTTTCAATCTTTTATTTAAAGGATGATATGTCAGTGAAATTTCATGAAAATAAAGATATATTTACTAACTTAACATATTAATCTTTTAAATATTAAAATACAAACTAACACAATTATAATTGAATAGTAATTACAAACTAAATAACAAATCTAAAGTAAATTTTATTCGGTATAATAGAATATATACATATACATATTTATTCCGAATACAAGCGATCATCACTGTACTAAATTTTCTAAAGCAATTCTGAATAGATAAAAGGACCGATGGATTATTAAAGTACGTAGATATATACTTATATACAGATTCTCACGCAGCCGAGAGCAAATCGCATTCGTTGTGAATTCTTCGCGATCAAAAAGCACAAATCCACATTGACGAGCAATTAATCGAGGACCTATGCCCTCATATTTCGTGAGAACGAAATTTTCGGATTCTGATATGTGGTACAAGGTTTATATCATCCCGCATAAGGTCATTTACGTACAATAATATAGCAGGACTGCGGGTGGGGATTTACGAGGACATCTTTAGATCTGATTACACGGAATTTTGGATGCTCGGGCAACCAAGTGGAAAACTGCGCCCATATCCAGAAATGTCACATAAAAGTGTCGATGTCACGGCTAATCTCCCCCCGAGATCGTTCCCAAATTCAATATTTTCGTTCGAATGAAACGTGGGCCTGGAAATTGAGAACTTTAGTTCTGGTTGTGTAGGTACATGTATAGAATATTAATACAGAATAAACAATACAGTATAATATTGGAATACATATCACTAGGTCGTTAGGAACTACGACAATTTAGAATCAAATTGCATAGTTTCAATATTTTCAATTCAATTGAATTTTGAAGAAACTAATTTCTGCCATGGGAAATGTAAAATACAAAATACAATATGAGTACCTTAAATTTTAGAAATCTAACAATCACCCAACGATGTTATTCGAGACACTAGAATAATCAAAACATAACAAATATAACAATAAATTTAATTTGCATGTTTGTTAAATGTAACATGAATTATTTTTGTAATATTTGTAAAATACTCCAAGAAGCAGAAAATACGACAGTTGAGAAGTCTGTAGAAAATTATTTCAGAGTCTTCGAGACTCTCTCACTTGTAGACCCCATGTAGAAGCCATATGTTTTCACACACGATCATGCTGGCAAAGATGACTCTTGCTGACACGCGACCCGCAGCCACCCTAAATACTTAATTGTCAATTCGATTTCAGTGCGGGAACGATATCCGTGGAATTCTCCGCGTCTCGGTTTTCTCTTCTGATTTCTTTATAATAAGAACAATACTGAGTATTGATAGATATTTTATGTACCTGAAAGAATCTGTTATTATTGAAATCTAATTTTGTATAGGTTATACAATTCTGCGAATTAACGAATTTCAATCTACGAATTGAATAACAATTATAAATTAATATATACGTTTTATACATAAATATGAATTTTTGTTTTTATTTTTTTGCGAATCTTTTGCGAAATAATCGATGTAATGTCATTGACGAATTTGTAGAAAAAAACAATTAAATAATACGTACATACATCAATTAGTAAAATCTTTACACATTATTTGTAGATTTAAATTATATTAAATACGTATTTTGATCATTTTTATTAAGTCCAAAAATAATTTGTGAAGAGATCTATTTTACCAGTCTAAAGAAATAAAATGTTCTATGGAGACATCTACCGATTATTTCGAAAGTATTATCATTGACCATAAACGAAGTATATGAATAGACATTGCATCTTACCATTGACTAACTAGCATAAACTGGACCACAGACAAGGTCACAGACGAGGTATATGAATAACATTGCATTACCATGTATTTTTTCGGTTATAGTAATACCGTATCCACCGACGAGATATATGATTAGACTAAGCATCTTAGGGATTTTCGTGACCTGAAATACCGACGTAGTAAAGAATTATTGGTTTTTTAGCGCACTCTACGTTTAACAACGGTGAGTTGGGGAACTAGAGAATGCACCAGCAATATAATTTTTGAGACCCATTACAGTGTTGGTCAAGTTTCAATACCGAAATATAAAGCTCGTCTGTGATTATTATATTCTAAGTAAAATGTTTAATTGTATCTCCAGATTCCAAAACACGAGATTAGTATCTAAAATTATTCCATTTTTTATTATGTATTTATGTCTGTGTATTTGTACTCTATTCGCGTTTTATAACGAAATCATTGACTGGTTTTTCGTTGGAAAATAATAAAATCAATACTTATAACAGGATTTTTTATTTACTGAAATATATTTAGAATGGGCTTGATGTATAATCAAAAAGAAGACATAGGACAGATCTATCATTTTATCAAATCACATGTTTTGAAATATCCATCAGAATCTAAAGACCACGGTTTTCTACAATATTTAAAAACGGACTATACGTTATCATAAAAAAATTCAATCTATAATTTCAGGAATCAACGATCTCTCTAACAACTTGACTTTATTAACCCTTTAATTATAATAAAAACTAAAAACTAAATCGTGATCGCAGCCTATTGGCTCATATTATTTATTATATTCAATCCATAATTGTTGCACAGTCCTTAGCTTGATGTCGGAGTAATATTCGGAGAAATCGATATATGATTCCCTCTTTAAATACTAATAAAGATATTAATATTTGGGAAACAATACCACGTGACACACACGGGTCTCATTATAATGTATCGTAAATCAATTCTGTTTTACATATTTATCACACGAGTCACGATTCATGTTTGTATCGAATTTAAACAATTTGTTGAAAAGAGAAAAGATATCCGAGAAACGAGGCATAACAGTTTGGTCGATCTAATGACTAATTTAAGACATTGAATAAATATTCTTACTTGACAAATTAATAGTAAAATTATTTTCCTAATTGTAAATTCAGAGAGAAATACTTAAGGCTTCTAATAATATTTAAATAGTATTGTTAAACCATTGACTAATAGGATAGATCGTACATCCAATGCTTTTTTTGTGTTCCACGTTTCGGAGGTCTACGATACCTATTGCATAAAAACAACAGAAAGACAGAAAATGGTATAAAAATTAGATAATAATTACATGGTGGCATTAGTATGTACCTTTGTTTACTTTAGACTCGAATTAGGCCCGATGGTGCTTTGAAAGAATAGAAGCACAAATTTCTTTTTGTCTCATAAAAAGAAAGATAAGAGAATATTATGTCTTACACAGAGAATTCTCGAAGCCGAGATTTCGTAATCTCTTGATCGAGAAACTTTTTTGGAATTTCGCATTTCACGCCCTTCGAATTTTATCCCGGTGGCCATTTAGAACTAAATAAATGTACGGTAGCCAATCACCAGTTGCCAATCAAAATAAGTAATGTAGTTATTTAAAAATCATTTATTCAAAAACAATGAAGTATAAATAATTATAACCTAACCTGGACCTAACCGAAATTCCATTTGACGCCTGGCCTATACCAATTAGTCAATGATACGCAGAAAAGCATTGGCTGTCCGGTTTGTTTTAATTAGTCAATGATTCAATAGTTCATATTGTTATCATCAGTTTTATTCAGCACGAAGTTCTAATTTAGACAATGTACGCACGTGTAACAAATTGGCAGACAGTTTATAAACTGTCATAAATTTTAGAGCTATAAAATATAGCAGAAGCATCGCTGTCGCTTAAAATATCACAGCCAATTCTCGACATTGTGAGGTCAGTCCACCGAGCTCTCGTGAAATTAGCTGAAGAGAGAGAAATAGAATGCGGTTAGTGAATATGGTTAGTGAATAACAGAATAAAAGGAGTTCGGTGATGCATCCACTGATGAGTCGGCTCGATCGACAGGCTGTCACGACAAACTGTTGCTTTTTTAAAATTAATAGAAGATATCTCCTTCAACGAGTTAAAGAGACCACGGAATGCAGATGTAGAAAGAAAAAAACACAATTATAAGAACATTCTTGTACTTTTTCACTCTTTTTTAGAAAAAAGTAAATCTTACGTTTTTAGGAAATGGGAAGAATGTAAGGGAGGGGATCGCACGAAGAATCATACTTTGAAGAAGATAAAAAATATTGGGATACTACTGTTGTACAAAATAGGAAGAAAATTGAAATATATGTACATAATCATTTTAATTATGCTGTACAAACATCTGCAAGCAAGAGAGACTTTCGATAGGGATGATGTAAATATCTTTTGTTCGAAAAATAGGAAACGAGGAATCTATTAAATGCAGCAAGTAATAAAGATTTTTTAAACAAATTACAAATGAAGTTCTTTCTCCAACATTGATACATTTGTTTCACTTAATCTGTGTTTCTATTATTCTTCTCCCAGAACCTAAACCTTGAAGACACGGCTAAAAATACACCGGAAGATTTTCGCGGGTGGCAAAGGAAGGCAGTCAGCGAAAGACGAGCTTTCTTCGAATCAAAAGAGGAAGATCGAGTGACGGAGCGTGTCCGCCCGACAACAGCAAATCCTCAAGTTCGAAAATAGATCGCATAGCTTTCCCGGCACTTCAAACGGCGTGTATCGTAATAGGTGGGTCGGCTGCTCGTTCAAAAATCTTGGCCACGAAATAATTAAAGGCTCATAAACACCAGAAATCCCGTAAAACCCCTGGCCACATGTGACGACACAATTTGGCGCGATTCAGCCGAGAAGCAACGAACAAGGTCGTGATAAAATCCATGTTTACTATGCCAGATAGAAAATGAAGAACGTTACGAGAATTTTGGCATTTCGTAGATTCAATCGTTCAAATATTAAGTAAATAAATTGAATTTTACAGATTTATTTAGAATGGTTTGGTCGAAATTACTTTTGACTAAACATAAGAAAATTAGTTTTTTTTCTTCGGCAAGTAATTATTCGTATTGTTCCAAAATTTTTAAAATTTAACAATATAGTCAAGTCTAAGGAAATTAATTTTTTAATCTGAAAATATAATGTTGTTGGAACGCTTGTTGATATATGCGGAAAGATTAAGTTTGTTCCAATTAATTGGTAACGTTTTAATTCTCTAAAAATTGAAAGAAAATTTTAATAGGCTATAGAAAGGAAAATTGAGTTAAAACAAAGATTTTAGTATTCATAAAAAAAAAATGCTAAACGAACAATTTAGTTTGTATGGTATTTAAGTATAAAATTCTCAAGTATCTCGAATGTTTTAACGTGCAATAAAATTTTGAAACAGTGGCTCCCGATTATTTTGAGCGATATACGATCGCGAAATGTAAACGCGTTCAAAGCGTTTGAAAGTTCTGAAAAATAAGCGCTCCCGGATTTTTACTGCCACTTATCTTGTTTCTTTTTCTCGGTTTAACAATATACGTAGTCGGAAGCTTTTTTTAATTAGTAACGAAATTTATTATTCGCTCTTTAGAGACTTCAACAGTTTTCATTAGCGTGCATTTCATACAAAATGACGCGCGTAAAATAACATTTTAAATAACGACGAAATTTTATCTTAGAAATACGATACTTGGACTTTTTTTTTTTTAAATAAATAAAAAGTTATGTTCGTATTTTAACTTACTTTGAAGAAGTTCCAATTGCACTTGGATGTTACAATATCGTTGTTTCGATTCGCCTGGTAACAGAAGTTACAACCAACTTAGAAACTAACAAATCATTATCGTTTAGCAGTTCTTACGTGAACCACTGACGTAATACAAGTAGCTGCACGTGTGCGATTTAACGATTTTTCGAAGTTGCTCCAACTTGTTATAGTAAGCTTTCTACCCGGCACAAAAATAGCTGCCATATTTTTCCATCACGAAAACTTTTTTAAAACTCTTATTGGACTATTACATGGAAAACCACATACAAGTAACTCACTAGCAATTAGATATTTGTGTTTTAATAAAAATATTAACGGGTATTAACCTTTTTAACGAAAAAGGTTAAAAAATCATCAGGTATCTAATTTTTCATAGAATGAAATTAAAAAATAATTTTTATAGAAATCCTTTTTATAGAAAAGTTTCATAGAAAACTATTAACGAGTTCCAAGTTATTATACTTTCTTTTTAAGATATAACCTGCAACGAGTAATCATTTACGTATGTAAAATTATCCTCATCGTTAGAAATTATCTATTTTTTTCTATTATTAGAATAATTCGAAAAACAATTTGCTTTATATCTTTTCTCAGCAGAAAAACGACATAGAACTGCGAAATAATTAAACGATACTCAAACAATTATCACGAGGCAGGAAACATTTGTCCAACCGTTAAAAAAGAAAAGAAAAGAAGAAGAAGAAAAAAACAGGCCGATAAACAACAAAAATTCACGCGTAAAATGTAAATTCATTAGATTGGTGAGAATTCTTCAAAACAAAAAATAATAAAACAACTCGTTTTACAACCCTCCCTCCCCAAAGAAAACAATCGTAGAAATAATTAAGCTTTGCAATGTCACGGTGTTGATGTTTCGTCTGGACGGTGAAAATTTATCAGCAAAGGAAAAAGTAAAACGTGGAAGGAAAAGATGAACGTTCGGGGTCGGCTGTTTGCTCAGGTAGACAGAACGGAGCTCCAATTAAATTTGGCAAGAAATTCTGGCACGATTTTAGAATGGCCAACGTAGTCGATTTCACGGCCACTCGTATTACTATACGAGACGAGTATAATGATGTTTCAATACGTACAGATCCCTTGCGACACAAATGCCTTGCCACTATTGCAGCCAGCTTACTTATAAAAATACAGCGACCATCTGTTCTACTACTTTCTCGTACCTATTCGGAATTTTTTGATCCAAAAGGAATCACAAACAGAGAGTTGCTGTTTTGCGATAAGGATGGCGTGCATCGTTTAGACTATCGAGAATTTTTAGTTAGAAGGATTTTTTAGGAGAGATGAGAAATGAGGGAGAAAAAAGCCGCATGCAGATGAACAGTTAGAGGAGTCGTTAATGTAATCCTGTACTCGTGTATTTCGGTCCCAGCCCCGGCAGGGCCCTCTAGCTTTTACGTCTCGCCGACTTAGCGAAATTCTTCGCTAAATTTAAGCCGTTGAACTGCTAGATAACTGCGGTTTGTATAAGAGATAGCAGGTTCTCAAAATAACGGATCGCATGCAGTGAGTTATTCAGAAATTTTCAACAAGATGTTAACGAGTTGCCCTCTGATGAAAGTATTATTGCAGTGTTGAACAACAGATTGTTAACGACAATCTCTGTAGATTGTAGATAATTGAAGTAGAAGTTTTTCTCTTTTCCAGAAATCGGTCTTCTAGTTCTATTAAAAGATTCGAGCTGAATCTCCGTGAATCTTCTGGTTCTTTTAATTAGGCTTTTTTTAATAATTTATTGTTCCTTAAAAGTTGGCCTTTCTATGATTCCACTGGAGTTATTTTTTTATTTTCTAATGATTTTATAAAGAATTTAACGACAGTATTTTTTTTCTCTTTTGAAAATTAGACTTTTCATGAAGATTTCAATATTCTATAATATTTTCTTTCCAAAGATCTCTCATTGTATTTATGAATAATTCAAGTATATAAAATTATATTTTTCTTCAAAAGATAATACTCAAGAATTTTTTTTTCAAGAGTTTTGACTTTAACAATTTCGGTACGATCGAGAAATAATCTTCTAATGATCTGAAATTCGTTCAATAATTCTCTAATAATTATATTCCAACAGAATTTCAAATTACTATGTTATCGTCTTATTGTTCAATGTAAAAGGTAGGAAGCAGATAAAGTCAAATAGAATTTCTTTTAGCTATAGTTTGTCAACAGTCTGTGTCTGTCAACAGCGACGAACTTGTCTAGGATTTGCTCAATGATGCGCTTAATTGTTCTCCTAGTTAATTTCATTGGCAGCATATCAACTCGGCCTGATCAATTGATTTGAACGAGTTCACTAAGTTGTCGCAGACAGATTTCACGATAAAAAGTGTTGTATACTTTTTCAATAATTAATTTAAGGAGAAAGAAAGATGAAGAAATATATATATATATACGTATGTAGTTTACATATTTTTAAATTTTTAGAAATAATCCATCAAGCTCGATGAATTTCATATTTCAAAAGTTCTTTAAGAAGTATGTAATTTTGAAAATGTAAGAAAAATTCATGATTTACGTTGCTGAAGAATTTTTTCTTTCATTTCCACGATGGAAACATTTTTACGTAACAATCTTATTATACTGGTGTCGTAAAAAGTTTTACATACAAATCATCACGATTCTTATGAGGCTTCGTTTGCCTATTTGAAACATTGCCTGTTTCAACGTCAATTGTGTCAATAATTTTTGTAAACATCAGATATTTTCTTCTTGTAATTTTACCATAGTATTGATTTTTCGTATTTTAGAAAGAGTCCAAGATAATTTCCATTTCGTCTCTTTGCAAAAGATTCGAAAAGATGTCAAATTCTTTTGCTTCCAAGCTTGTTCGTTCAATTTCAAGAATACTCCGCATTTCTTAATCTAAAAACAATTAAAAGAAAATTAAATATAAAAATTCTTGAAACGTGCAAAGTATGCAAAGGAACTTGTATTTTCAACACGTAGAATCTGCATCTAAGAAGCCAAGTAGAATATCTAAAATTATTTATCTTCAACATTAGCACCTTTGTGTTACTTTGGTACAAATCCATTCCATCTATTGATGGAAATTAAAATTAAAAGATACATGAGATGTATCTTATTCGAACAGACGATCCTTGTCAAAATGCTAAATGGGACATGTTCCATTATTCTCGAAATGGTGAACAAAAGTGGTCGAAACGACATTAAATCAGCGAAAACGATGAAAGCGCAGCATCGAGTGATCGATAAGGAAGCAGTATGGCCGGGATGTTTTCCACATTGAAGGTGCCAGCAGATAATCTTGGCGCGAGCGGCCGTTTTCACGGAAAACAAGTATATCTGGTGTGCAGAATCGTCGGCTAACATTATGTAATAAATAAGCAAGGTGGTCATCAATGATGATCACTGGTGATTTGCTCCTGGCAAACGTGTCCAAATTACGGAACACACAATGGTACTCGATCATTACCTGGACATTGATATTGAGAACTGCTCTTAGTCAACGATCGAGAACCATTTTCCACAGTATTCATCGAAACGATCAGAAAGAGTTTGCAATTTTATTTTTTAGTTTGATATCTCTTACAAAAATAGCACTCTTTTTGATTCTGCGATAAATGTATACAGCATTCGATATGTCAGTCACGCGATAAAATCATTAGCCTCTTGAGGCAGTTAAATTGGCGATTTAACGTTGTTACAGTGATATTTAAAGCGATGTTCTCTGCGACTGCGAACGAAAATAATAATTTTCTCGCCGCTTGGCATGATTTTTCGTAAAAAGGAATATAAATCTTTTTGTGTTCTTTGTTTCTTAGTATACATATATTTACATTATATTTATATCCTTGTACATGCGAAACAGGTAACCAGAGAGTATCAAGTTTCTATGTGTATTGAAAAAAAAATGGTTCGATATGTGTTCAATGTGGATATTAATAATTCATGTAAT